CCTGCAAGTGAGGTCAAGGGCTATGATCTCCAAGACCCCAAAGACAGGTGTCTGAGGTGCTCCTTACATGACACGTTTCAGTTACTCTGCTCCAGAGAGTTTGGGGGGATCAGTTGGTAGTCCATTGCAGACCAGTGCTGACAGATGGGAGTTTGGGGTGCCCTTGAGGAAGTGGCCGTGTGCCCATGAAGATGTAGCACCACCTTTCTGGGCCCTCGTCTTTTAACCAAACACGTGAGTCCCTCCCCGCCCCCCGCCCCCCAGGAATTCTCATGACCGAGTCCTAGATTGGGAAGAGTAATGCTTCCTAAGCCAGAGGACCTCAGGATTCTTCACAGACTGGGGATAGTCAGTGCTGAGTTGACACATTCCTCCTTCCGTGAGTCTGTGCCAATCCCAGTAGTATCAAGAGATACCACCTTCTTGGAAGGCAGATGGGAAAGTGGGAAAAACTCTGCGCTTGGATTCAAACCTTCTCTGAGATCCGAGTTGGCTACTCAACAAGCAGGAATCCTTGACCAGATGGCTTACACTTTGTTATGTTTTCTCATCTGTATAATGGGCATACTCATCCCTCCCCATCTCCAAGGATGGTGGTATAAGGCACTTACATTTTTTGGAATAGGTAGGTAGCCAGAGGTTACTGCTGTGAAGGATTAAAGGCAGACCTACGGGGCTTAACCTCAGGCTGAAGGTGGAAGTACGCTGGGGCTCCTGGGTGGCGCAGTTGGTTAAGCATCCAACTCTTGGTTTTGGCTCAGGTCGTGATCTTAGGGTTGTGAGATCGAGCCCTGTGTTGGGCTCCACGCTCAGCAGCGCAGAGTCTGCTTAAGATTCTCTCTCTCCCTCTGCTCCGCCCCACCCCCATCCCCATGCACACACTCTTTCTCTCTCTCTCTCTCTCTCAAGTAAATAAATAAATCTTAAATTAAAAAAAAAGTAGCTCCTGAGTGACCAAAATGATTTTGCAAAAATATTTCAACTGGAGTCATGTTGACCACTAGGAATGATGGCCCCTGAACCAAGGGCCTGGAAAAACTGATGAAGATAAGAAACCAGGGTCCTCCAGGCATATTGGCGATGGTCAATGCATTAGTCTGGGTGGGCTGTGTCAGTCCAATGTAGACTATGAATGTTTCTCTTTGCTCAGGGTAGAGGTGGGGGCTAGCTCCCGAGTTCCTGAGTGGGCTGGAGAGGGGGGTCAATGATCCCACTATGGTTTCTCATCATTACATTTTTTTCTTAATAGACTTTATTTTTTGGCCCAGTATTATGTTCACAGCAAAAGTGAGAGGAAGGTCCGGAGATTTCCCATATACCCCCACCCACACACATGCACGGCCTCCCCCACTGTGGACACCCCCCACCAGAGTGGGACATTTACTACGATAGATGAACCTACATTTCACATCGCTATCACCCAGAATCCATAGTTTACATTAATGTTCACTCTTGATGCTTACACTCCACGAGTTTGGACAAATGTATAATGACAGGTATCCATTAAGATAATATCACACAGGGCGGATTTACAGTGCCCTGAAAATCCTCTGTGCTCTACCTATTCATCGCTTCCTTCCTCCCAGCCCCTGGAAATCACTGATCTTTCTACTGTCTCTGTAGTTTTTCCAGAATGTCATGTAGTTGGAACCATACAGTATGCAGCCTTTTCAGATTGGCTTCTTTCGTTAGATGCATTTAAGTTTCCTCCCCTTCTTGGGGCGCCTGGGTGGCTCAGATGGTTAAGTTTCCTCCCCTTCTTGGGGCACCTGGGTGGCTCAGATGGTTAAGTTTCCTCCCCTTCTTTTCATGGCTTGATAGAACATATCTTTTTAGCACTGAATAATATTCCATCGTCTGGATGTACCACAGATTATTTACCCATTCACCTACTGAAGGACATCTTGGTTGCTTCTAAGTTTTGGTGTTATGAATAAAGCTGCTATAAACATCCATGTGTAGGTTTTTGTGTGGACATAAGTTTTCAACTCCTTTGGGTAAATACGAAGGAGCACTATTGCTGGATCGTATGGTAAGAATATGTTTCGTTTTGTAAGTAACCATCCAACTGTCTTCCAAAGTTTGCACCAATTGAACGAGAGTTCCTCTTGCTCCATGTCCTCATCACGTGCTTACATCCTCTTGTCTGCTCGAATTTGAAAGCGCCACATTTCATGGTGCCCCTGGCTGAAGCCCCTAAAAGCTCCATGGGGGTCCAACCCCTTTCCCCCTGCCAGACATTGCTCTGGCCTCTGTCCCCAACAAAGATTTCTAAGTCACCTGCTCTATCTCTGCCCCTCGTTCTGCCTGCCAGAGAGGGCTTACCTGCTTCGCTCTTAACTTCAGCCAAGGGCACACGTAATATGTGAAAATGGGGGCTCCCAAGTTGCACCAGATCTTTTGACTTTTACTGACATGTTATTTCTACTTAACACTCCTCTCTCAAACTTTTCCCCAGTGTTTCAGGGAGTCCCTGGGGTGTCCCCTGTGTGCTCACTAGCATCAGCACTCTTTGGATGAGAATGCTGTTTGGGCCGGGGGCACCTCCTGAATGGCACCCCATCCCCTTCATTGTGGATGCCCAGAAGCCATGTGGTGTAACCTGCAGATGTGGGCATAGGCCCTGTGACTTCCATCTGGTATATGGGGATGGATGCCATGTGCCACTCCATTTCCTTCCTATCCCAACACCTGTTTTACAAAACTGTGTCATGAAGCCCCTGCCTGAAAACTAGTTCATACAAACAGATCCCCAGGGGTCACAGGCCCCTGGCTCAATAGACAGACACAGCAATTCCTGAGTCTGGGACCAATTACGTATATGTCTGGTGCTGAGCGTGCCCATGCGCACGAGTGTGTGTGTGCATGTGCCTATCTCTACGACCAGAGTGTATACTCTTTAGGGGCGGGACACCCTACCCTCATCTTTACATCCTATAGCAGATCTGTCATCATCCCATCTAATACCCCTTGGGCCTTGACATTCCAGTATTCTCCTGCTTACTTCTGCCTACCAGCATCTGCATCTTTGTGCCTGAGGACTTTCTCTGGCTCCCAAGTCCAATCTGCCCTTGTGCAGAACTGGCTGGAAATGCTGGGAATGACGGCTGTAAGAGGGGTGTATAAATACCCCAGAAACCCCCTCCCCTCCCCTCCCTGGGTGGAGTAGCTCCGCAGCATGTCCTGGCTCCCAGAGTTCCCAGCAGGACTGCCCTGCAGCTGCCCAAGTGGTAACTCTATTGATAACCCTCCTTTGGCGGTCTTCCCTTCCCTGTCACGCATTTCCCCCCTCCTCAGTGAGCTTCCTGGGGTTGCTTCTCAAGCTATTTCCTCTGGACTCCTTCTTCAGGGTGTGGGGAAACTGAGATACACACTCAGCACCTAGCAGAGTATTGGCACACAGGACATGTTCAGTCGATATTTATTGAAAAATGACATGGATACTTCTAGAATATACATATTAACCTCTAAAATAAGGCCAACTGGATATTCTTTTCTCCATCTGTCTTGTCCCAAATTCTGGACTCAGACTGGTGCTGTGCCCATTGTCTGCCTGCCCCTGATGGAAGGGGCATGCCCTGCTCCTTCCCTGGCCCTCACAGCATCTCCTTCATGCCCTCATAATACACACCGCCTGTTGAAAAGGAACAGCTCCTTGTAGCCAATGACTGTCTCCATCTTCCCTTCTGGTGTCCAACACAGTGTGAATGGGTGAACATAACTGGTTCCACTTCTAAAATATTTGCCTCTACATCTGTGTGTTCACATTCCAGCTCCATCCTTTGGCCCCCAGCTCCTGGTCTAACACGGTCCCCCTAGAACCTCAGTCTCTTGTTAGAAAGGAGATCATTTTTCTGTAAGAATGGATTCAGAATGAGAGCTAAGGTTAGTCTAGAAAGGTGGCCCCCAGGCCCAGGCTAAATGTTAGAAAAATCCTTGGAAACATAAAAATACCAATGCCAGGCCTCCCCACACGCCAACTCCGAGGCCATCTCTGGTCACAGGGCCTGGATTTAGGCTTTCTTAAAAGCTTCCCGGCTGGGGGGGGGGGGGGGGGGGAGGGGCGGTCCTAATGTGGAGCCAAGCTTGACACCACGAATCATCAGATAAAACTTCCTACTGTTTCCTTGGGGCGCTCCTGCTTTAGACCAGTGAGGAGTAAACCCCACAGGGTTGAGTTGGATCAAGAGGACAGGACCCATTTTGTGGGGACTCAGGGAGAACTGAAGATTCCTGGAATTCTTATCGTCGATATAAGTGTCAACCAAACTGTCATCCAAACTGGGCTGGGTGTTCTAGGGGGCCCAGCCCAACCCTCTCCCACCTGACAGAAAGACCTCCCAAATTGGGCTGCAGGAGTGCTGTCCCCCTTGAATCCTCCTGTGTGCCATGAACGATGTGCTATAGGATGAGTTCCTGTGGGACCGAGGCCTCCTGCCTCAAAAGTTCGGGCTGGCAGCCGCGGGTGGGGGCAGACAAAGCCATCAGCTGATGGACTGGCCCCCACCTGGGCCATTTCCTGCCTTGTCCATTCCAGCTCCCCCCAGGCCACCCATTCTCCCCTTCTGCTTCTTCTCTTGTCCCTGTTTCTCTCCTGCTATTTTCTAGTGTCTAACTCTTTGCTTTTTCTGCTCAGCTGTGCCTTGGAACCATGCTGCGGCCGCCCCCTCTCACAGCTGCCTTTGCAAAGTGTGGGCCTCTTGCCTTGGAGCCCAGTGTGGGAGGAGAAATGTGATGGAGAGAGGGGGCTTCTAGAAGAGAAAGCACACAGCCTGGGAGCTCGAGGGCCGGGTTTCAGACCCGGATGTTTATCCAAACTGCTCCTTTGTGCTTCAGCTTCCCCCGGTCCATAAAGCTGTATGCCTTGAAGGGGAGTTTTTGAGAATGGGGGAATGTGTGGTTTGCTAGGTCCTGGAGCTCGGTGGGTGCCGTCCCTGGGGCACGAGGCATGTGGGCCTCCTCGGACTCATTTCAGGGCTGTCCCTCTGCTGTCTCCACAGGACTGCAATGTGCAGGTGCTAGCTGCCGCCCGAGAGGATGTCTGGGGTGTCCGAGCCCCTGAGCCGAGTGAAGGTGGGCACGTTACGTCGGCCTTCTGAAGGCCCTCCAGAGCCCATGGTGGTGGTGCCAGTCGATGTGGAAAAGGAAGACGTGCGGATCCTCAAGGTCTGCTTCTATAGCAACAGCTTCAACCCTGGGAAGAACTTTAAACTGGTTAAATGCACTGTGCAGACCGAGATCCAGGTAAGTGTGGCAGGCAGGACCTGCTCTCTTCATTTGTCTGTCTCTCCTTCTTCTTCCTGGGCAGCTGGGCAGCCCTCCTTCAGCCTTGCAGGCTCTCCTGCATCCGCTCCCTGGGCTGGGGACACCTGAAGAGACGTTCTTAGCCTGCAAGTCCAGGTCTCCTCTCCAGGATTCTGCAACCAACCTCATGGGGGTAGGGGGGGTAGGCAGATTTTAGAGGCTTCATGTGAGCCCCAGATCATTTGCCTTGTCTTTGATTCAACTCATTTCAACTCATTAAAGATTTATGACATTTGGAGCTCTGCGAGGGATGTAAGAGCCTTCACCCTCAAGGAGTTTATGCTCTGATAGAATGGGGATTCGAGATATACACAAGTGATTGCATTGAAAATAGAGCAAAAACGTCTTAAGACATGTGCTTGGCACTTAGAGAAAGGAAGTGGGAGGATGATAATGAACTAGAGATGCCCTAGACCAGGTGGATGGTTGCCAGGTCCTTTATGAGGCAAGACTTCCATTGGCTTATTCTCATCCAGGACCATGGAAACTGTTTTGTGGGTTTGGGTGCCCAACGTCATCACAGCACCTAGATACCAGGAAGCCAGTTCACCTTAAGCAAATCTATAAGAATTTGTCATTAAAAGCAGAGTTACAATACACTGATTGTTTTTTTATTATTATTTACTTGAGAGAGAGAGTGCATGAGTGGGAGTGGGAGTGGGAGTGGGAGGGGCAGAGGCAGAGGGAGAAGCAGACTCCCCGCTGAGCAGGGAGCCTGACATGGGGCTCAATCCCAGGACCCTGAGATCATGACCTGAGCCAAAGGCAGACGCTTAACCGACTGAGTCACTCAGGTGCCCCTACACTGATTGATTTTAAACACTTGTATTTATTGAACAATTACTATGTACAGCCTAGATCCATCCCTCAGCATGCATTACCTCCTTGGATCCTCCCAACAGCCCCATGAGACAACGAGGATATCCTTTCCCACTGCCCAGAGTATCCCTTTCTGATGTCCAAGGAAACCAAACAGGTTTTCAAAAGGTGGCTTGATGGATTTATCATTTGAACAAAAGAAGCAGAGGACTTTCAGGAAAACTAACCACATTTGAGAAAGCTGGATGAACTATTTCAAATCCCTTCATCACCAATCCTTCCCCTGTCCCAAAGGTCAGTATCCCTCATACTCAGGGAGTGTCTCTTCTAGTCGGCAGTCTCTCCACCTGTTCATCTGTCTCCTTAGCCGTCTTCCATCTATTACAGTGCATGCCGTGCTTCAATACACCAGAGCAGAATGTAATTGATTAGGCCACCGCCTTGGCCAATTATCATAATAGATCATGGTTCGGTCACTCCGTTTCCTGTCATTGATTTGATAAGGGTCTCGTTTGCGCATCTTATGGTTTCAGACATGTAGATAGAGTTGTGCCCTGAGAGTAAGCTCTGTGCACCTTCTTCCTCCCTTCCAGGGATGTGTTTTCATATCTTCTTAGCTGTCTACTTTTTGAGACTTCCTTTGGCTATATCATCTTCACAGATAGCTGATGACATCCACTGTGGGTTTTACTAGTTTAATTTTCAGAAGTTAACCTGCTTTCCAAGTTTGGAGGCACCTCCCTGACCTTTTATGCTAAAAACCTGCGAGCATCTAGTCGGCCCAGATTAGGACTTGTTCTACGGAATTACAGCAAAAAAGGACCCAAAAGGATAGGTACTTTCCAAGAGGAGGGAACAGCAAGAACAAAAGCAGGGAGGCTGCTAAACAGTGAGTAGTTCGGTTGGGGTAATATGAGTAATATTTAGAAAAGTGTCAAAGTCAAGATCAGAAAGGAAAGTTGATGGCAGATAAGAGAAGACCTAGAATGTTAAGTTGAGAAATTTGGACATGAACAGGCACTCAGGAGAGACACAGTTTTTAAGCAGGAGAGAGGCTTTTCTGGAGCTGATGACTTGCTGAGTGCATAAGAGGAAAAAAAATAACAGTGGTCCTACAGAAAAGGCAATGAGACCCAAGCTTAAGAAGAGCAGCTAGTACTCAAGGCATTATCTGGGTGTCAGAACAAAGGTGAAAAGAACAAAGAAAGAAATGATAGCCTTCTAAGAAGTTATGTCCAAGCCTTAGATTTTCCTATTTCCAATCTGTCCTTCAGGCAAACAGCCATGGCTTTAAAGCCACCTAGACCCTGAGCCAGATACTGCTCCACCCTTATTGGTTATATGACCATAGGACCAATACTTGACCACCCTGGCTTCAGTCTTCTCACTTGGGCATTATGCCCACCTGTGGCTATGTTGTAAGGGTTAGAGGTGGTAGATGAGAAGCACCTAGCTTATCATAGGAGCTCGATCATTGAAAACTATTGATTGCCTGAGTGCTGGGTCATTTCCCCACTCAGGAATCTCCAAGGACTTTTCATTGCTCATAGAATAAAGTTCAAATTGTCTTCTGTTAGTGTGTATCCACATATCTGTCCTATTTTCAAATAGAGAAGTAAGATGATCAGATTGGTGTTTTCAAACAGTATATAATGTTCTGCAAGATGTTAAGAAGTATGTCCAGGAGAATGGGTTTTAGGGTCAAGGAAGTTTGGGAAATGCTTGATTAAACAATTCCAAACAGACCCTTTGTGACAGGACTTCTCAGAACTTTAAATATGCTGATATGCATGGTGGATCACTAAGAAAGGGCCACAGAGGGGATGTTTTCTGAACTAAGCCATTTTTTATTTGCCTGAGAAACCCTTCTTTTTGAAAGGTGGACCACTAGTTCTCTGGAAAATCATTTAAGAATCTGTTTTCCCTAAACTTTGACAGCAGTACAGAAAGGGCAAGAGAAAGGAAAAGCTGGAGACAGGAGATGGATTAGGGAGCCGTGGCCATAGTGCAGGCGGGAAATGATGAGGGCCTGAACTAAGGGAGTGGCATTGGAACAAAGACAAGCAACACATCTGAGTGCACCTAAGGAGGCAGAGTTAAGAGAATTTGATGATTAAATGGAGGTAGGGAGGGAGAGAAAGGAAGGAGAAAAGAATGACTCAAGCTTTTGCTTCGGTAACTGACTGGGTGTTGGGGCCACTCATTGAATACCAACAGAGACAGGAAGGGCGTTCTGAGATTTCAGCTTTACATGTGTTGTGTTTGAAGTGTTTGTGAAACACCCCCATGGAGGCACACGGGCCTGGAGCTCAGGAGGGAGGAAGGACCCAGTGAGAAGGATTTGGGAGTCATTATGCAATGGATACCATGTGAATGGATGGGATCACCCACAGAAGGGTAAGTAGAGTAAGTGAAAAAGAGTTGCAATTTGGAAACCCTGGGAAAGCAACTTCTAGGAGGCTGATAGAGAAAAGGGGGCAGATGAGGGAAAAAGAAGAATTATCCAGGGAAAGATGAAAAGAACCAAGAGAACAGGCAACGGACACAAAGGCAGAGGAAATTTTGCGGAAAGAGTGGTTAACGGTGTCAGACGCTCAGAAAGGTCAAGTGAGATAAGGCTAAAAAATAGGTTCATTGGCTTCAGTAACAGGTGCCATGATCTTTTGCTGGGCACGTTCAGTGGAAAGATGGGGGGCAGAAGCCATTGTAAAGTTGGTTGGAGAGTGGAGACAGTGCGTATAACCAACATTTCAGAGAGGTTTTGATCATAAAGGGAAGGAAAGAAGAGAAGGCAAGAGGAACAGTGTTAGCAGCATATTTCCAGCATAAGATATATAGGCAGAAGACAGCAGATGAAAGAATGAGGAAGAGGGAGTTGTCAAGAATGGCAACCCTGGTTCAGGTAGACAGGACCTCGAAGGTCCTGGAATGAGAAGGTACATGGCAGGTTTGAGGCTAAGAGATGCCCAAGTTTGGTTATTTAAACTATGCTAAAAATTTTTAGTTTCATCCATCTTTTGTGGGAAGCCAGTGACATAGTTTAAACATATGAGTGACATGAGATTGCATTTTTAAAAGATCACTTGAGTTACATAGTGGAAAATAGATTGGAAGAAGGCAAGAATGGTTGTGGGGAGATGTTAGGTGGCTGTTGCAGTGATCCAGATAAGAGATGATGGTAACTTAGCCATAAAGGTCACGATGATGATGATCTTAGTGATGATATGTTGATGATGGTGATGGTGGTCGTGATGGTAGTGTTGATAGTGGTGATGATGTTTGTGATGGTATTGGTGGTGAGGGTGGTGGTGATGGTGAGGATTGATGATGATGGTGATGGTGAGGACTGATGATGATGGTGATGGTGAGGATTGATGATGGTGGTGGAGATGATGATGGTGATGGTGAGGATTGATGATGATGATGATGATGGTGCGAATTGATGATGGTGGTGGAGATGATGATGGTGATGGTGAGGATTAATGATGATGATGATGATGATGGTGAGGATTGATGATGGTGGTGGAGATGATGATGGTGATGGTGATGGTGAGGATTGATGGTGGTGGTGGAGATGATGATGGTGAGGATTGATGATGATGGTGATGGTGAGGATTGATGGTGGTGGTGGAGATGATGATGATGATGGTGAGGATTGATGATGATGATGATGGTGAGGATTGATGGTGGTGGTGGAGATGATGATGATGATGGTGAGGATTGATGGTGGTGGTGGAGATGATGATGGTGATGGTGAGGATTGATGACGGTGGGGGAGATGATGATGGTGATGGTGAGGATTGATGATGGTGGTGGTGGTAATGATAATGATGATAATGATGGTGGGGATGATGATTGTGGTGGTGGTAGTGGTAATGATAGCAGCTAGCACTTTTGAAAGCACATCATATGTATTATCTTATTGACTTCTCAAAAGAACTCTATGAAGCACATACTAAATTATCTCCATTTCGTATAAGGAAACAAGGTGCAGAGTAGTTCAGCAAATTGCTAGTATTTAGTGGGGGCTGTCTTCAAACCCAGTCAGCCCGCCTCCAGAGCCTGCACTCTTAACCACCATGATCTATGGAAAGAAGTGATTATAACCCAGAGAATTTAGG